ATTGTGCAGAAGCTATTTCAGAAACAATTAAGATTCACTCGAAATTCAGAAAATCTGGATTAGATCGTTATCATGGTAGAAGTGGGACGATAATGAGAAAGAAGATTAGCAAATGGGCCCTGAACAAGGATGACAGGATTCACAAAGAGAAAGGCCCTGCCCGCCCTAAGTTAAGGAAGGTCAGGAAAAAATACAAGGCCCCAGTCCTAAGTGAAGGCCGGCCAGAGGGGCCGGTGTGACCGGCCAGAGGCCAGCGCCTGTAGCGACACGGTAGGCCCTGTCTCCAAGTTGGTTACAGAGGCTGGGCCCAGGTGCAGTTCCAGTGGGCCCAGGTGCAGACACACTGGGCCATGGCGCTGCCTACGGGGCCTGCACACGGCTTCCTCGGAGAAGCACAAAAGGAAGAGATTCAAGGCTTTACACTGCTACCGTCTTCACCCAAATAGAACGCCCGGTCATGCGGCAGTCATTATAGCTGTCTTTCGTGCGACTTTTAGTCTAGATATAGTAATAATGACCGGGCATTCTATTCGGGTGAAGCGGGAAACAGCCGGAGAGCAGCGCCCACGGGCAAGAAGCCACCAGGGGAGATGGGATAGATCCTCCCTCCGTCCTTCCTTTGGACCGGATTCAGGCCGTTTTTTCTTAGGCCTGTGCTTTCCTCTTTCTGATAATTTCTAGTTACTGAGTTGGCTGCGGTCACCTCTCCAGACTTTCACGGATAATCAACACAGATCATCAGCAGAAACTCCATTGATAGAAATTTCAATTTTATCAGTCAGACCGAGCTCCTTTATGCTTACATTTTTGCTCAGCAAGTTACAGGGAAGCTGGACCCGGTTTCCAGCAAGTTATTTTTCAAAGTCGAATTGTCCCTATGGGACGCTGGACCCAGTTTCTAGCAAGCGTTTCTAGTTTTCGAAGTCATTGTGGTTTTGTCCCTATGGGACCCTGGACAAGTTTTCCAGCACTGCCAGGTGATTTGATTCTTTTCGTTATTAATTTATGGGATGCTGGACCCGGTTCCCAGCACAAGCCAAAGCTGGGTAATGGCCCCGGTTCACTACCCGGGTAGAATTGTGAGGTCCCCGGCCTCATCCTTCAATTAATTACAGACCTTTGATTGAAAAAAAAACAAAAAAAAAAAGAGAATGAGTTCTTCGGTCAGCCAATGGGGTGCGTCCTCTGAATGTCATTTTTCTGTTTTGCCAATCTCATGAAGGCTGAGAGAGAGCAACGAGGAAGCAACGAGGAAAATCGCCCCCTCCCTCAAAAATGGGCACAAATGCAATGGATGAACGGGGATTGGTTGACACCCGGCCACGAAACTTCGCGGTTTCACAAACAGGCGGCCCGTGGATATCAATATCCATCCATGGACTGTATTTGTCACGAAAGGCCGCACGTGACTGAAAACGCCAGCGAGTTGTTGTAAAACGTCTCTAGTCGGTCCCGGGACCATGTCCCACTACCTCCGTTGAGCTTGGAAAAAGCCACGTGCATCTCCGTGGTGGTGTACAGTCACACAGCGCCGAAAACTAAACGCAGAGCTAGCTCAACGGAGCTGGTACAGTCACACACGGCGCTGTGTGACTGTCCCACCAGCTCCGTCGTCCTAGTCATCTAGCGGTCCGTTTTTAGTTTAAGAAATGGCAATAGCGACTATCGTGGCTTTTTCTTACAAGAAAAAGCAGAAGTAAATCAGCAGAAGTAAATCCTTTCTCTCGAATACTACTCCCCCGAACCTCGTCCTAGTCATCTAGCGGTCCGTTTTTAATTTAAGAAATGGCAATAGCGACTATCATGGCTTTTTCTTACAATAAAAAGCAGAAGTAAATCCTTTCTCTCGAATACTACTCCCCCAACCCTCCCCACTTTCGGTTGAGCTGGCTGTCTCCTTTTTTTGAGACAGCCAGCTCAATGACCGTCTTGTTCCCCCAAAAGCCGTTTTTTTTATGGAGAAATTATACAAGCCTCGTTCCGTTTGCCATTTTCGTATGGGATTCTGGCAACTCTTCATTTTGCGGCTGTGGACTTGGCCCGTGTGCAGCTCCAATTGTGAAAAAAGAGACAAAAGAACCAAGTGTATGATTGTGTATTCGCACGATTTATAACTGCATTTCTCATTTTCAATCCAATTAAAATGAACAGTTTCAGCTGTCACATCACGCTGTTGAGTTGCCTCAACCAAACGGTGCAAGTGGGACATGGTCCCAGACCCCAGAGGTCTATTTTCGTTTTGGAAAAGGGGGAAAAGCTGGCCTGTCGAGCAGGCCGAGCTGAGCATAATAAGGGCGGGACCCCACAGGCTGTCGGCCTGGAAAGCGGTCTGGTGGAAGTTGGCGACGTGAGGCCGCCGCGAACGGAAAACAAGCAGAACAGGGGACCCCACAGCCACCGTGAAAATGTGCCCCGTCCTGCTCCGCACTTTCCCGAACAGGAAAGTCGACCCCGAACTCTCCCGAAAAGGAAAACGTGCCTGTTCCGTTTGTGTTCCTGGGTCCACACGCTTAGGCACGCAGGCGTGTGGCGCATTCCGTGTGCACCAACGTGTGACCGTGTGGGTGACGCTTTCGCGTCAACGGGTGAAATTGCGCGACACCGGGAGGTCTGAACGGGTGGGGGGGGGGAGGGGGGGCGCTCAGCAAAAAAAGAATACATTTCTGCCCCATACCACCGGAAGGATGGTTCAACGGCCGCATTTTTTGAATACCTGGTCTGTTGTGCCATTGTGCTACTCATATGCTGTGACCGAATGTGCGAGTTGCTGTTGGTGGTCCCCTTCCCCGTCCGCTGCGCCGTGCCGCCATCTCCGTGTCATCGCAAACAGAAGAGAAGTGTCATTGGGGTTGTTGGGGGGCTTGGAGACAGGATAGGGAGGTGGGGGCAGGCAGAGGAGCGGAGACATGGACGACGAGTGGGAAGGCCGGCTGCTGTTTTTAGTGCTTGCTGTCATCTAGTGGGTGAGTCGACGTAATGTGGCAGCCATGGCTGTCCTCGAGGCGGCTGCTATTTTGCCACAGCACGACAAATGCGACAATGAATTGGCCATCGGCATGACGACGCTCGGAGGCCTCGTTTGCCATAGCCTTTCTATGTTGTCCGCATTATCGGCCGGTGTAGACGACCGCATGCGGGGCAGGAGGAGAGTGTGGGTGGTGGAAAGGAGTGGTGGTTTGTGGAAGGACCTGCAGCGGCAAGGTCTCTCTCTCTCTCTCTCTCTCTCTCTCTCTCTCTCTCTCTCTCTCTCTCTCTCTCCCC